TGCTAGGATTATAGGCATGAGCCACCGTGCCCAGCCTATTGTTTAATTCTGAATGATGCCTAGGGTTTACCTTTCGATGTTTCTGCATGTGTTCTTCATAATTGCGTATCTTGATGGTCAAGGAAACAACTGAAACCACAAACCACAGAGGATGAGAGTTGGGCACAGAGGAAGGAAGGGCCTGGGTCTGGGTTGTTTTAAGAACTCAAGGAATAACAACCACTAATGCTCTGTACAGCTCTCTATAAATCCCAATGCACTCTGAATTTTGAGATCTCAAAAGATTTTGGATTATCTTTCCTTTAGAAAGCAAAGACGAGGAAGGGAAATTCCTTAATCTTATACAGGTATCATCCAAAAATCATATAGCATTCTAAATGGGAAAGCTTTAGAGCATTCCCATTAAATTCAGGAATCAGATGAGGATGCACGCTATCATGGTTAACAATTCAACATTGCACTAGGGGTCAAGCCAATGCAGTAAGATTCCCGAACTGTCAAGGGTCTACTCCTTGCCTCTCCCCTTCTAGCTGCCATCCATAGCCATGCTTTCACTAATGAGTTTTCAGAATTATCAGCTCCCATTTGTCTCCCAAGGCCCTGGAACTTCCTTCCTGCAGGCATCCTCTCATATGATTCCCACCTGTATTACAAAGACAGGGACAAAAGCAGAAGCTGGCCTGAAGGAGGCTGTTATGACAGCAAGCCCTTGCTAGCACATACTGAATTCCGGAGCACTGCAGAGAGTGCCCCTGACCATGTGGCCCCTTCACACCACCTTGCTGCAGAGTGTAAAAACACAGTGAAAGAGGGGCTTTGGTTTCTGAGGGGTTCTCTAGGGCAGACAGTATGCTAAAAGCAACTGACTTTCAGAAACTCAGTATTAACGAAAAGGCAGAACCAATACTTGTGGTTAAAGAAGACTCCTCTGGTTATCGCCTTTCTGGTGTCTTGGCAAATACGCCATCTGTTCCTGCCAACCTGGGAGATTTTAGCAGGGATAATGCAGAAACAGGTGAGGTGAGACAAGCAGACCTTCTGTGGTTACAGATGGTCCCCAAGCCAGGGTTTTAGTGGGGCCAAAGGAAGCTAAACTCATCTTCTCAAATGGGGTATGGAGGCCCATTGCTGGGCCTCCATACCTTCTCCATGGGGGTTTAGTGTCTGAGATGAACTCACGAGACTTTAATCCCTGGCAGAGGGGAAGAAAAGAATGAAGGCAGGATGGTGGTGGAAGAGGAGGAGGAGGCAGTAGTATGGGCCAGTGGCAAAGGGGAAAAAAATGTGCAGACCCCATGCAGGTCCACTAATCTTCCTCACTTGCTCTCAGTGGTCCATGAAGATAAATTCCCCCCAGAGCAAGGGGGAAGTGATAGGGCTTTTCATTCACATCTTATGAGGGCTACTGCCAGTTCCAGCTTGAAACCAAAGTAAGAACATTATTTTTTCCCTTGGGAATGCTCCACAGTGTCTAACACATGAAGGTTCAGTAAATGTCAGTCTTACTATTATTATAACAGAGCATGAGCTTTAGTTTCCAAGGTGTGTTTACATCTTCTTGGCTTCTCACAATCCTGCCACAAGGTAGGTAGTGCCCTGCCCTGCCCAAGCCCCCCTTTTCCAGTCTTGGAAGCAGAGGCTCCAAGAGAGGACTGGTGACTTGCTCAGGCTCACACACAAGCCACAAGGCAGGACCTGGGCGCTGACCCCAGCATCAGAGCTCAGCATCATTGCCTTAAGTCCTGCATGTGTCTCCCTTTCCCAAGCCACATATGAGTATGCCTGTAGAGGAGAGCCCTAGCTCAGGTCCCAGCTAGCAGACTCCCTTGCACCCCCACTTCCCAAGGGCTGCCAACCAACTTCGAGCCTCCAGGGATCTGGTGTCCTCAGGGTTTGCCATGACCTTTTTCATCAACTGTTCTTCTTTGATTATTAGCTTCTCCTTCTGTTGAAGACAGAGATAGAGAAAAATCTGTACAGTCTGCCATCCCCTAAGAACTAGCCCTCCTGCCCCTGAGGCCATGGCTGCAGTTACAGCAACTAGGCCATATGGCTCAGAGCCTGACTTCACTCTGCTCACCGTGGCCTTTGCCAACCACACAGCTACTTACATTTAGGTGAGCCCAAGGCCAAAGGCACTGACAGGAAAAATGGCTTGTTGGATGAATGTCCCCAAAGCGTGCTCATTCATTCATGCATCAGATCTTTATTGAGCACCTACTGTTTGTCAGGTGCTAGGATACAACGGGGGAACAGCAGTGTTTCTGCCCTCAAGATGCTCATTATGGGGGTATTGATAAGTGGACACAGAGTGACAGTGGGCTAAATGCTGTGACGGGAGAAGCTTGGGATAAAGGAGCTAACCAGTGTAGGTAGAAATCCCAGAGGAGAGGACCGAGGGAGGCTGTGGCCAAGATTTGGCACAGGCCGCTCACCTTATTGGCCATTTCCAAAGATAAGAGTCTTTTCACGACATCATCGACTCTGTGGAAAAACCACAGCAATGAAAGACGGGTGTTGGCGGGGAGGGAAAAGGGGAAGCAATGCTCTTTTCATTTTGGTTTGAAAAGCAAAGATGATTGATTGAAAATTCCATCTCTAGCAAATAAGTCTCTCTGGAGGTGGGGAGCCATTTCCCAGTGATTAAAAGTCAGCATGGATCTGGCTTGTTGTACTGAAAAGTACAGAAAATTGGGGCTGTCAACTCAAGTGTTCCGGTCTCATCACAGGGAGGATTTCCATTTTAGCTAAGACATGGTTTAATCTGCCTTGAGATATTTCAAGTCAAACTGCGCAGTGGGAGGGACTGCCCAGCTCCCACTACACAGGATAAGGGACTGAGCAGAAGGACCCTGGCTTTGGTTAGCCCTGGATTCAAACCCTAGCTCTGCCCCTAGCAGGGCTGGACTGCTCTTGTATGACACCGAGCAGCTTAATAATCTATAGAATGGGGACGCTATTTCTTCCCGTATAGGGCTTTTTCAAGGATCAAGAGATTAGAGATTTCTACAAAAACCCAGAGTCAATAAAACAAATAAGTAGTTGACTCCAAGAATGCCATCTGTCCTTGCTGCCCACTCACCCTCCCCATGCTTGGGTCTCTACACCTCTGTGCCTCATTCTATAATCGAATTTTAGGTACAGCCAACCAAGCCTCAAAGTCACTTTCCCTGCTCCCTGCCAATCCTCCCAGGGTCCCCAGCCTCCTCAGGTAGGTTTCTTCCTGCTTACTTCTTAATTCCAGGGATGTTCTGGTAGCCTTTGAGCAGCGTGGAAGGGGGTGGGTCATCATCTTGGCTGGGCTGGACTGTCAGGTATAGGGATAGAAAATACCCAGAGTCAATTCTCAGGGCCCATCCTTCCAGACTTGGATCTTCTCACCCCTCTCCAACTCTGTAAGAGACATCTAGGGTCTCAAGCAAGGAACAATATCTCTGGGCTCAGTTCATCCTGTGCAAACCCTGTGGGTACCTGCATTGATACTTCACTCTGGGAGTAGATGGCTTTTCCCAAGACCTTGTACTGTGCCTGCCCCTCTCACATACCTGTCTGGCTCTACAGTTATCAGATCCCACACTAGGACTGGTCCTCTCAGTCTGGTCCATGGCCCAGCCTAGAACAGGCACTCAACAAACATCTATTGGCTGTCTGCATGAATGCAATAAAGGAGTTGAGGAGGAGTAGCTAGCTTTAGGATGCCTGAAATGTAAGTACCAAGTAGGAACCACAGGAAAACCTCAGCCTTGGTGTGCACATCCCTACTGTCCCTTGGAGGTGAGGGAAAGGCATGGGACAGATCAACTTATTTTCTCCAGACCCTGCTCTGCCACTATGTGAATAATATTAATAGCAATAAATACTACTATATGCTACATCTAACAGCACAATGCTAAGGACGCTTTTCATGTGTTATCACTGAATCCTAACAATCCTCTCAAATGGATATTTTTACACTCATTTTAGAAATAGGGCTTATAGAGAGGAAGTAACTTGCCCTGCATCATTTACCTAGTAAGGGATCTTAACTGCTACGCATACTGACTTGGCATGGGAGACTACAATCCTCGATCTCAGAATGGCAGACACAAAGCGCTATACTCCAGTAAGGCCTGGGTGGTGCCAGCCATGCATTCTCTCTGGATAGTTTATTTTCATTCACCGGGAAAGCTCCGGCTCCCTCCCGCCCTCCACACTACTCCCCCTATGCAGGCTTCAGGCTAGGGCTTTGCGTGAGGTGGACGGTGGGGATTTGCTGCTAAGGAGCTCAGGCCCACTCCTTTGCTCACTCCTTCCAGTGGCTCTAACTTGCCACCTCCATCCCCTTAGCCATCCTAAGCCTTCAGGCGACCTCCCTTCCGCCCCAAGTCCCACCTTAGGAACTCCTACCTGGTTTCCGGATGGCATGTCCGCGGGCGGCCTGGAGGAGACCTACACAGAAAAGAGAGGGCTGAGGACCATTTCCTTAAATAGCCCAGCCTCAGTTCTTTTCTTTGTTCCCTGTGTTACCCTTCCTCCAGGGTCCATGCGCTTCTGCGCCTAACCGCTGCACCATTTCTTCCTTACCCCCCAGTCCCTTGTGTCTCACTTCTTCCCCAGCCACCACGCTTTCCCATTATCCTGCTGCTGTACTCCTCCCCGGCCCTGGCCCCAGCCCCTCAGTATTCTCTATCTCTGACGAACCCCATTTCCCTATGCCCGCCGTCCCATTTCCCAGCCCCTCACTTAGAGGCTGCAGGCCCCACTGGCTGGAAGGAAGCCTGGCGCTCCCTCTGCCCAGCAGCCCAAGGACTGGGGCCTGGATCGCTCTCTGGGTCCGAATGGAACTCAGCGCCCGCCACGCGGTCCTCAGCATGGTGACTCTAACCCCCCGGGACCCGCGCCTCGACCGCTGTCCCTTTTGCGGTACGGACGGCCTTATACGGGCGCCGCCATGCTGGCTCAGGCTCGACCAATCGAAGGAGTTGCGATACCGGAGCAGACGAGGACCGAGAGCATGGATTGGCGGGCAGAACTCTGAAGACGCGGAGATTTGAGTTGAACTGGAAGTCTGGTTAGCAGCTGAGCAAGATCGGAGCGTGGTTAGTGGTGTGCGGTGCTGTATAAATTCTAAAATGCCACTTTTTCTTGGGCATGCATCCCATCCTTGACCCCTCTGTATGTTCCTGGCCTGGGGGCGCGGTTATTTTGGGGCTTTCGTAGGGCCTGCGGTAGCCTTCCAAAGTAGTCTCCTCTCAACCCCATTTCCCGCCGCGAAGTCAAGGATGGGGCCCTCTAAGACCTACTGTGTTTCAGCCGTGTCTCTGGCAGCTTTGTAGCTTGGTGGCTAACTAAGGTCGATGATTTTGGAAACAGACAACCTTGGGCTGGAATCCTAACTCAGCCATTTACTCAACGTGTGATCTTGTAGGCAAGTCACTTAATCTTTCTGGGCCCAGTGTACTCATCTATCAAATGAGGGTGGTATTAACAGTATCTGACTTTTAGGTTGTTGAGTGGATTAACTGAAGCAGTTGTATGTAAAGCACTTAGTATATGTAAGCATTCAGTAAATAGTAGCTGCGATATTATTTGTGAATGAAGGATGTGTATGGGTGAATACATATTAAAAGTAGGAAAAATTTAATACCTTAACTTTGCAACAACAACAACAACAAAAAATAAATAAATAAAAGTAGGAAAAATAAATTTTAATTCTCCCTGGTGCAAAAAGGGAAAAGACTCCTCCCCTTCACTTTTCTTAGAGCGTGTACTTTAGAAAACTTGTAGTTGTGAATTGTCTACTTGTTTGAGATGAGTGTAAATCTTTTTATTTATTTTATTTATTTTTTTGAGATAGAATCTTGCTTTGGTGCCCTGGGTAGAGTGCAGTGGTGTCATCATAGCTCATTGCAACCTCAAACTCCTGGGTTCAAGTGATCTCCTTGCCTCAGCCTCTTGAGTAGCTGGTATTACAGGCACATGCCACCACACCGGCTAATTTTTTTTATTTTTAGTAGAGACAGGGTCTCGCTCTTGCTCAGGCTGGTCTTGAACTCCTGACCTCAAACAATCCTCCTGCCTCAGCCTGCCAGAGTGTTGGGATTACAGGCGTAAGCCACCGTGCTTGTCCTGAAATATAATAATTAAGGATGATAGTACCCTATCTCTCATTTTCTGTGGGACAGAGGAGCCTAACTTCAGCTGTTACCTAGCTCCAAGTTGCAAACCTACCTCCTGTTCTAAAGATATGAGAAATGTATTTTTTCTTTGGATAAAGGCAGTTAGCAGACATAGGTGAATTTAGGATGAACTGTGTGTGACAAATGGTGCTGTCAAATCCTCTTACTTGAGGATGAGTTATTGAAAATGCATGCAATAAATTGTATCCACTTGGCTATATAAAAGAATAAGATTTCTTTCTGTCTTTGTAATCTCTAGTGGATTGTTTGTGATGCATATCACATTCTGGTTTAGTGCTTATTCAAAAATAAACCTTTTCTTTCTTTTCTACCCTTGTGGAGAGGTTTTCTGGATTGGCAGGAGATTTTTTTTTTAAATCATATTTTCCTAATAGGGTCTTTTCTGAGGTCTCCTTACTGTGTCCCACCACACTCTGTAACTCCCTCTGTGTAAACCTTGCCCACTGTGCCCTAATTATCAGGTTCCGAGTCCTTACCACCAAGAATGGGAGCTCTCCAAGCGTGGACTGAACTGTGTCATTTAAAAATCTCTGCTGCCAGCACAGGGCCTAGATGCTAAGTGAGAGCTGGTTGAATGAATAAACAAAGGAATGATTCTGAGAAGTCTCCCCCTGACTGCTAGGGCCCTGGAAAGAAAAAGAACAGAGACAACAAAAACCACAAACCAAAAACCAGTTTAAGAGACTGAAATTATTGGAAACAAGCACAAAAGGCCAGTGGGTGGTGCTGGACAGAACATTGTCTGAGTCTCAAAGTATGCAGGTTGCCTGGGAGGCCCATCCTATGGAGAGTGGTGGGACAGGGAGGGATACTGGGGACTGGAGATTGGGAGAGACAGGGAACCTCTGCCTTTCCTGTAGCTGGGGTAGTTTTCAGTGATGGGCTTACTGACCCTCTCCTCTCCTCTGGATAGCTCAGGCCTTTCAAGAGGCAGGCCCAGGTGGGGAGTCCCAGGAAGTCCTAGAAGCCCCCTAGTCCCTCTACCCCATGGACCTGGAGCCCCTGCAGGAGGGGGAAGTCTAGCAGTGGCCCAAAGACACAGTCATCCTCCTGGCTTGGGTCTGAGGGTACAGGGGACCTCAAGGGGCTGGTCTGGAACCAGAGGTTCTCATAACACTTGGGGCTGGGAGTGAGGCCCCCCAAAAGGGGCTGAGTAGAGTCATAGCGGAGGTAGTGCCCTGGGCCTGTGGGGCTGCCCAGCACCTGCCCGTAAAGGACCGGGTCGCTGGTGCTAGATTCGGCCTGTGGCTGGGTAGAAGCTGCTTTTGGGTCCCCTTGGAGCACATAGGTCTGGACCAGGGTGGGGAGGCAGGTCTCTGAGCTGTCACTGGACTCCCAGGGCCCCAGCTTCTTCTCTTCCTCCTCTAGCACTGTGATCTTGGTGATGGGTGGCATGCCAGGGTCCCGAAGGCTGGGCAGCTGGAAGGTCTCCTGGACACAGGACATTGGGGGAGGGCATGGTTCATTTCAGATATCTACCCCAGCCACTGTCCCTTCCTGAGTTGGGGCAGTAGTGGGGACATCCCTGCTGCTGTCTGTTGGAACACAAAGGGTTCCATTTGCAAAGCACCAGTGTGTTCCTGACACATGTCTGACATGTGCCACATGCCATTCAGACTCAGCCTGGTGAATCTTTCCATTTCACAGGGAGGTGACTGAGGCTTTGAGAGGGCAGTGCCAGGATTCAAGCTTGAGTCTGCTTCATTCTGAAGGGGTGGGGGGGGTGGGGAACTTGCTGGAAGTGATGGGAAGGCCTGTGTGCTCATCCTCAGAAGGGGGTCCCTCCACTTTGAGCCCGGGCCAACATCCCCAGCCCCATTTCCCTCTCTCTCCACGTCGCTCACCTCCTCCATGGTGGTGGGTGCCCAGGAGCCCAGGCTGCTGTGGGCTGGGTCTGGGACACTTGGCCAGAGGGAATTCTTTCTGCTAGAGAAGGGGGCAGGTGGAGGCTGGGTCAGGCATACCCTCCTGTCTTCCCATCCTTTGTCCCACCCACCCCAGTGGCTGAAGAGCCGCAGCTGCCCCTTGGTACAGAGAGAAGAAGGTGGAGGGCTGGGACCTTCAGGCACGGGCCCCAAGGTCTGGGAAGGCTGGAAGGGACATAGTTCCCGTGGGTAGGGGTAGCTGGGGGTTGGTTCTCTCAAAGGACTCACCTGGGTTTGCAGCAGAGCCAGGCAGTCCCACAGAAGCAGATGACCGTGAACAGGAGAGCGAACAGGCCCAGGAGGATGGGTAGCTCAGACCCCTCTGGGGTGAGGGCAGAGCCAGAAGAGGTTAGAGTGCGTGTAAGGAAGGCGGGGTCCCTCCCTCAGCCGGGGATCCATGGGCAGGGTACCCTCCCAACAGCCATCTCTGCTGACCCCCATCTCCCCTTACCTAAGGGCAAGGTCATCAGGGTGAGGCCTGTACTGTTGGTGGCCCAGGCCTGGCTGGTGGCCATGAGGTGGACGTGATACAAACTGCCCGGCTCCAGGCCATGGAGGACAAAGCCACGGGAGGAGGCGTTCAGGATGGTGGCTGGGAGCGGGAACATATGGTCAGCCTCTGTACGGCTGCTGAGCACCCTCCCCAGGCCCTGGGGTTATGGGAGCTGAGGATAGACTCACAGAAGGACTGGTTCTGAGCGTTGGTCCAGAAGATGGTATAGTGGGTAAGGGGGCTCTTCCCCAGCTCAGGGGGCTCGGGCACCCACTCCAGCTGTGCCCAGGTCTTGCCGACGTGCTTTAGATGCAGCTCTGGGGCTCGGGACGGGGCTGCAGGAAGAGAGGGGTACAGGGGCTGCAAGGGAGCCTGACTAGACTCCTTGTGGCTCCCCAGAGACACTGCAGGTGGGCGAGGAAAGAGACCAAGAGGACCATGTCCAAGCCTCAGTTTCCCAGGGAGCTAATCGGAATGCCGCCTCCTGCTAATAAGTGGCTGAGCCAGGATTGGAACCTGGTTCTGTTTGACGCTAAAGCCTCACTCCCTGATTTCTACCAGGTCTGATTTTGTCTGATTCACTACCTGATTTCTGCCACTCACCCTCTGAATTTATGCCAGGTCTTCTGTCCACTTTCTGTCACACATGACACCTTATTTTTTTTCAGGGCAATTGATTGATTTTTGCCAGATTTGTTCTGTGAATTTGGCCAAACTCACTGCCCGGTGTCTATCCCACACCGCCTATTTCTGTTCGGCTGTAGGTGTCCAGTGTAAGCAAGGGTAATCTTAGGATTTGGAAAGACCCCCTCCAGAGCCAGAAGTACAGGAGAAAGGACATGTTCCCCCATATTCCTGGTTGTTGGGGCTCAGGCAGGCCTGGGAGGAGAAGGAGAGGCCTCTAGAAAGAGGCCTGATGTCTAACAAACCCATCTCTTGGGAGTAGGCATAGATGTGCCCAGTGGGTCCCATGGCGTCCTTGTATAGGGGAGTCACAGAGATCTTGTAGAGCTGAAAGGGCCTGATGTTCTCTGTAGGGAGGAAATGGGGGAGGCACTCGATTAGGGGCTAACCTCTACTGATGATTAGGAGCCAACCTCAGCCCTCTAGTCAGGGCTAACCTCTGCAACCTCTTCTTTAGATCATTTGATAGGGGTTAGGGAAGAAAAATGGAAGAGAGAGCTAGAAAGGTGGCAGGGTTAGGGCTATAGAGAGGGTCAGGTTAGACTGCAGGAAGAACTTCCTGAATGTTAGGATGTGAGATGAGAGCAGTGAAGGATCAGGAAAGGCCGGGTCCTCTGCTTCTCTAGGGTGGTTCAGGTTGCCTTTGCCTACTGTCAGGCACCCCTGCCTCCCTCTCTCCCCAGCCCTGCCCACCTGCCTGGCCCTCCAGGCTGGCCTCACCTCTCAGCAGAGTCCCTGTGATGCTTCCATTATACTCCATCCTCCAGGTTTTGTTGCCGTCCCTGGGGCTGGGGGGACTCAGGTCCCACTCAATCACATAGCCTTCAGGCTGGGGGTTGGGGCACTCCCAGCCCACCCAGAGGCCGTGAGGGTCTTGGGCCATGGTGTAGAGTCTGGTTAGGGGTGGGCCTGGAGACAGAGTGGGAAATGGTGCAATGAAGGTGAAAAGAGTGCAGGCCCTGGAGCCAGAAGCCTGGGTTCAAATAAATCCTGGCTTTGCTACCTACAGGCTGGGTGACCTTGGGTAGGTCAACATCCGAGCCTTGGTTTCCTCATCTGTAAAGTGGCAATGATGATACAAGTTCTACCTTGTAGGGTCTTGGTGCAGATTAAATGAGTTGATGCAAAGAACCAAGCCTGGTGCAGTGCCTAGCATGGAATCGTCCTTGATAATGACCACAGCTGACGCTGTGCAGTTCTCAGTCTGTGCCAGGCATAGTCCTTGACATATGGCAATTCATCAAGTCCTCTAACAGTCACACCCAAGAGGTGTGTGACTCTCAATAGTAGTACCTCTTGGTATTACTAATTTATCAGCGAGAAAACTGAGAGACACAGAGAGGTTAAGTAACTTACCTAAGGTCACACAGCTAGTAAGTGGGAATATTAGCTATTGTGATTGTTATTGTGATTATTAGTCTCACCTTGTGAGGGTCCATGTTTAGGGAAAGCTGGGGGTTCTGGTGGTGGTGGGTGATCCCCTGAGAATGAACAATGATGACTGTGTTCCAGCTGGAAAAGCTTAGGGCTTTCCTCTCTCAGCTTTCTTAGCAGAATGGACTGGTGTGTGCGTGTGTGTGTGTGTTTGTGTGTGTGTGTGTGTGTGTGTAGACACCACCACCAGCTCAACCTGGTCCTGGCTGATGATACTAATAGTAGCTAACCCATACTGAGCAGATACTTCACGCCAGGCTCTTGCATTTACTCCTGTGACCCTCACAACGACCCTCAGTGGGCGCTGTTATCATCCCCATCTACTAGATGAGTAAACAGAGGCCGGGAAGCAGGCGTAACTTGCCCAGGACACACTGTTAGCAAGTCAGGGGACTAGATCGGAACCCAGGCAGTCTAGCATCTGCATTTCCATGCTTAACCACTGTGCTCTTCTGGCTGCCCTCTCACCTGTGCTGTTCAAGAAGACCACTGGGCTGGGATGAGAGGTCCCGGCTGAGTTATAGGCCACAAGGGCCACCTCCTGGGCTCCCGAAGGCAGGCGGAAGGTGCAGCTTAGCGCCGTGGTGTTGCAGAGGGGCAGGACTGCCCCAGCCTGGCCCGAGGGTCTCCAGGAGACCAGGTACCCTTGGATCTGGCCGCTGTTTTCCTCCAGGGGCATTGGCTGTGGCAGGCACAGGAGGAAAAAGAGAAGAGGATGTACAGCTCGTCTTGAGTGGGGAGGTCCTCTAGGTGGGGTGGATGGAGCATAGGAATGGAGCTCTCACCTCCCTCCCTCTTTCCCTCTGTCCCTGTGCTGGTTCCAGGAGGGAGGGCAGGAAGAAGCAAGTTACTTTTCACTGAACCAAGCTGTGTTGTAATCTCTCTAGAAGGTCACTACTCAGCTTCCCGGGCACGTGCAAAGTGCATGCAAATCACACCTAAGTGCGTCTAAGCCTCTCAGACCTGTTGGGGTTCTGAGCCCCAGCTTGCAGGGCTCTGTGAGTTTTGGAGGAGGTCTCAGGGTTGGAGGGATGGCCTTCAGAGGGAGTCACCTTCCAGAACAGCTGCACGTCCACTGTCCTGTTGTCCAGTGGCCTCTGCCGTGACCACGTGCGCAGTCTGACAATGGGGACTGTGGACGGAGCGAGGGGAGAGAGGGTCCCAGTCAGGGAGGGCCTGGGGCCTGGACTGGGCGCTGATGGCTGCTCCCAGCCCCTCGTCACCCACTCACCCTGTTCAGCGGTTCTCAGCTTCAGGCTGGGGCTCCAGTTGCTCCAGTGGCCAGGCAGGGGCCAGCGAATGCAGCGCATCTGCAGGGTGTAGGCTGTGGCCGGGAGGAGCCCGCAGAGCTCGTACTGAAGGGTCTTGGTGGGCAGGGGGCCCTCCTGGTGGGTACGTGTGCCTCTGAGCCTGCATCTATGAGCCCTTCCAGGCCAGCTCAAGCCCGACTTACCCTCCCCTCGGCCACTGCCCCCTCAGGCTCTTGCGCCTGCCCTTCACCTCACCAGCGTCCAGTTGGCGCCTCCCAGCTGCGGCTGGTGGCGCAGCTCACACTTCTGGCTCATGTGCAGGCTGGGCTTCCAGGGCTCCCAGTGCAGCAGCAGGCAGCCTGGCTGGGCCGGGGCCGCCGCATGGCTGGGGCCCACGGTCCACAGCATGGGGGGCTCCAGTTTTACTGCAAGGAGGGGATTGTCAGAACCTCTCCCTGCCCCACCCTGTAGAGCTCTGCCTGAGTCTCCCTGTCTGTGGTTCTAGTGCTTCTGTTTTCCTCCCAGGTCTCTATCTGCGTGCTCTCTCTCTGTCTCTCTCTCTGCATCGTCTCCCCCTCCTTCCCTCTTCCCTCTCTCCGTCTTTTCATCTCTGTCCATGCTGCCATGGACACGTTTCTGTGTATGTGGGATTTGCTCCTCATCCCCCAGAGAGCTTCCCAATGGTCACCTTAGGGAGGCCTTTCCTGACCAACCTATTGCAATAACAACTGTCCACCCCAACATGTCCTTCTCCTTTAATTTCTCCATTCCACTTATCCTTATTTGACATCCTGAGGGCAGGATTTTTTTTTTTTTTTGAGACAGAGTCTCACTTTATTGCCCGGGCTAGCGTGAGTGCTGTGGTGTCAGCCTAGCTCACAGCAACCTCTAACTTCTGGGCTCAAGCGATCCTACTGCCTCAGCCTCCCGAGTAGCTGGGACTACAGGCATGTGCCACCTTGCCAGGCTAATTTTTTCCATATATTTTTAGTTGGCTAATTAATTTCTTTCTATTTTTAGTAGAAACGGGGTCTCACTCTTGCTGAAGGCATGATTTTTGATGGACTGCTGCATCCCCAGTACCTAGGACAGTGCCTAGTACATAGTTGCCCCTTCAAGCAATTGACTCAAAGAAGGAACGGATGTGTCTCCTTGCCTCTGTGTCTCTTCCCTGCGTCTGTGTCTCCCTTTCTCTGTCTCCAGCTGCATCCCTCCATGTCTCTGCTCCCTTCTCTAGGTCTTTCAGTGTCTCCTTGTTGTTGCTGGGCCTGTGTTTCCCTCTCTGTCTCTCTCTGGGTCTGCCCATTTTGGGGGTCTCTCCCCTCCCCCACACCCAGCATCACCAACCAACATCCATGGGATCGAGGCATAGCTGCGGGGACGTGCTGGTCCCCAGTGCATTCTCTGCCTGCACCCAGATGCCCATGTTCTGGTACAAGATCAGGTGTTTGCGTAGGATGGAGCAGTGGCTCTGTCCGTCTTCAGCCACACAGTCCGGGATGGGGTCCTTCTGGTTCTGACAGCTCCTGTCAAGGGGCCAGGCTTGGGTGCCAAGCAGAGGAAGAAGGCGAGGCTCCCTGACCCTCCCATCTTTGCCTCTGGCTCCCCATCCCCGTGGTCCTACCCATGCCCCACCCAAGGACCCAAAGGAAGGGGGCTGGAGTGGGGGCCCCTACTCACTGGAAGCTCTTTAGGGTGAAGCTGGTGGGCAGGTGGGTCTCTGGTCCTGGCTCCCACTGGCAGGTGAGGCTGTATGTTGTGAGGTTCATGAGGCAGGACAGGTTGTGGGGTATGGCGGGGGGGTCTGCACGTGGGATGGCAATAATGTGAGTGATTTGGGTGGGACCGTTCAGAAAGCTCCCACTAGGACCAGTTGGCTTTGTTTCCTTGCCCTGCGTGGGTCCCTTTGGGGTTACCTCGCCCATCCCCCTGTGTCCACACAGAATGACCCTGGAAGGGCAGCCCTGGGTCAAGCCAAGTTACTGGCATGTACAGGGGTAAGCAACATGGACCACCAGTAGCCCGGTGGTCCTCGCCCTCCAGCCCTCCTATCCCCAGGCCCTGTTGTCAGTGACAGCGTAGCGTCTGGGTTTGCATCCTGGTCCTGCCATTCACTGGCCACGTGCTCCAGAAGTTACTTAACTGCTCTGTGCCTCAGTACCCTCATCTGGAAAATGGGGGAAATGATAACATATCTGCCCCCCAGGGTTGTTGTGAGGGCTAAATGACTCACTGCACACAAAGTGCTCCGGACAGTGCCTGGCATGTATGAAGTGTTATGTCAGTGTAAGCTGCTACGATTATTGCTTCTCAAACAAGAAACCTGGTCTTTGTCTTTTTCTTATGCCTCAACTTGGCACAGACTCCCCCTGCTCAGTTTGAAAAAAAGGCTGAAACTGGGTTGGAGGAGAAGCTGGGAGCAAGCCCGCCTGGTAGAGGATGTCCTTGCTGGAGGCACCCTCCTATGACGAGGAGTTGGACTTGCTTGGCAGCCATATAGAGTAGTGGCTACCTCGCTGGCTTGAGAGCCACGCTGCCTGCTATGAATCTGGGCTCCGTCCTTATTAGAGTGTGACCTTCCCTTCCCGAACCTCAGTTTCCTCATCTGCAAAATGGGGCTAAATAATAGGACCCACTGGTACTCCTATTACCTGATATCCTGCTCATAAAGTGCTTATTGAGCAAGAGCTCCAAGGATATAGCTCTTACTATTTATTGGCAGAAGGGCATGGAGGCAGAGTGGTTAGATGTGTGGAGGGACTTACACCCTGCTCGCAGCTCAACCTGGTCCAGGATCTGCAGGCTGTTGCTCCAGTTCAGGCAGCAGGAGAGAAAGGCCTGAGTATGGTTGAAGTGGGGCAGGGTGATGGTAGATTCCTGGGTCCCATCAGGCAGGCGCTGCTGCCTCCCCCCAGGTTGAAGCTCTGGTCCCAGTTTCCACAGAATCTGTGCATCCAGGCCCAGGCGGCTGCAATTCTGGTTGATGACACAGGAGGCAGTGACGGAATCCCCCAGGCGGACGATCGGGGTGGAGAGGCTGATGTGCCCGCACTCCTCCAGGCCTGGGGGGTGGGGGGGGGGAGAGAATGGCCAATAGGTGACTCGTTGGCCTGGCAGAGCTGGGCTATAATCTAGACCTCTGAAGCCCCAGAGTCAAGGTCTTGGGGGCTGGAATGGGAAGGGTGTGTGCAGAGATGGTGAGAGGACGTAGGGGTGAGACAGAGATAGTGACGTGCTGCAAATGTTTATCAACTGGCTCTCTAGAGAAAAACAGACCCCGATTTGTAGTACGTGCTGCTTTCCGTGGTGCAAATACCACCACCGTAGCTACTAAAGTGACATCATTGACTGTAGGGGTGGGAAGGGATGTGCACCGTCAGCTTTTGCGAGCCAGATAGAGCCCAGGGAGCGCTCTCCCCGAGGATGGTGAAAGCAGCGATGAGACTGATAAGAACGCTGCAGCCACAGCAATCTTTTCACAGCTCAAATCTGATGGTGTTACCCCACCTCGATTACAGCAAGTCATGCGCATCGCTGCCCTGAAAGTGTGGTGTGGTGGCGAAGAGCATGGACATTGGAACTGCACTGCCTAGGTTTAAATCCTGGTGCTTTTCTTTTTTTGTGTTTTTTCTTAAATGTAAGTAGAGAGTTTATTTGGGCTAAGTTTGAAGACTACAACCCAGGAGTATGGATTCAAGTTGAGTATATGCTCCCCAAATCCTGGTTCTATTGCTTATAAATTCTGTGCCCCTGGTATGTTACCGAGACTTACTATGCTTCAGTTTTTGCATCTGTAAAATGGGAATAAAAATAGTCCTGACCTTAGTGTTGCTGGAAGGATTAGATGGGATAACGTATGTGAGGCACTTAAACAGTGCCTGGCGAGTAGATGTTTGCTGCCGTCATTAGGGTGAAGACCCACGTCCTTCACACAGCCCTTCTGGCCTGGCCCTGCCCAACCTGCAGTTCCAGCTCAGACCACACTGTCAGCTCCAGCCATGCTGGCCTATCCCTGCTGTTCTTTGAAAACTCCATGATCTCTCCCATCTCTGGATCTTTGCGTTGTTGCTCCTTTTTGAGGCGTTCTTCTTCCAGTCTCCCACCTCTCTTTCACCTGGGCGACACTTAGGCATCACGAGGGAACCAGACCAGGCTAAGCCCCCAGTGCTTCTCCAAAGCCCTTACCACCCTTCATCCTTATAGAGCTTTATGAGTATTTGCTTGTCTGTCTCCTTGGCTGGACTGTAAGTTCCGTGAGGCCGGAGACCTTGGCTGTCCTGCTCATTGCTATATTCCCAGGCACGAAGTGGGATTTTGGTGCCTGTTTTTTGGATAAATAAACAAGTAAGCCAGGCGCTTTGCCCGTGATGCCTTCTCTCCTGTCTCAGGTGTGCTGAGGCTTGTTTTGCTGATGGGGATCTGAGGTCCTAAGAGGGGAACAGTTTTCCCAGGGCCACAGAGCAAGTTTGTAGTTCTCAGCATGCGCCTCCTGCTGCTTAGCGGACTCAGAATTTCAGGGCTTGGGTGACCTGTTTTGGTGTGGTCTGCCGGCTAAGAATGGTTTTTACATTTTTAAAGGGTTAAAAGCAAAGAAAACAAAAACCAAATAAGAATATGTGATACAGACTGTACGTGGCCTGCAAAGCCTAAATATTACTGTCCAAGTTTGCCCACACTGCTGTGCAGCGTCCCCGTCAGTCCTGGCCTCAGCTTGCATACCACTGGAGGTGAGAAGCTCTCTACCTCTCAAGGCAGAGTTTCTACAGTCAGAGAGCTCTGCTTGGGCTTCCTTAGTTCAGGATGAAACCTGTCTCCTTGTAGCTTCCGCCTTGATCCTTTTACTGCCCACTCCGAAGTTCCTTCTGACAGCTCGGCAGAGATTTGCAGACAAGATCTAGGACCCACTGGCCTTTTCCAGGCTGACCAGCCTGGTCCTCTCACCGTTCCTCCTGGGTGGCGGTTTGCCCGTGGAGGGCTGTGGGTGGGAGCCCAGCTAGCCCACCTCTGTGGCTCAGTCTTGAGTCTCTCGGGATTCTCTGGGAACCCCAGGAGCTATGTGGCAGTTTAGCGAAGCGATTCCCACCCGCCCCCAATATCTCTCCCTGTAACTCCCCTCTCCCCTTCACAGCCCCACCACTGTCCACACTCACTTCTGGGGAGCAGCAGGGTGATCAGGGCAGCTCTAATCAGGCTGCAGCCTCCCAGCCTTGCCATAGTGCCAACTTGATGCTCACCTGCAGGCAGAAAGGCTTGGTTAAGGTCATGGGCTTTGGGGCTGACCTTCGTCCTTGCTCTGCTACAGTGCAGCTTTGGCCAGATTACTTGACCTCTCTCAGCCTTAATTTCTTTGCAAAATGGAGGTAATAGCAGCCTATACTGCATAGGGCTTTGGGAGAAAGACTCAAAGATGCAAGTCAAAGACTTTGAACAGTGTCTGGCACATAGGAAATGACTCTATAAGTGACAGCTACTGGTTTCTTTTTCTTTTCTTTTCTTTTCTTTTTCTTTTTGAGGCAGAGTCTCACTCTGTCACCCTGGCTAGAGGGTAGTGGCATCATCATAGCTCACTAAAACCTCCAACTCCTGGGCTCAAGTGATCTTTATGCCTCAGCCTCCCGAGTAGCTGGAACTACAAGCGTGTGCCACCATGCCTGGCTAATTTTTCTATTTTTTGTAGCGATGGGGTCTTGTTCTTGCTAAGGCTCGTCCTAGACTCCTGGCCTCAAGCCATCCTCCCGCCTCAGCCCCACAAAGTGATTACTGGGTGAGCCACCGCACCTGGTTGGCTACTGTTATTATACTTGCCTTCCAGGAAAGAGCAGGGAAAGGAGCAGCGAGGAACAGCATTCTTCCCCTTCCCTCCTGTCTAAGCTGGGCTCCCCACAGAAAGCAGAGCCTGAGACAAGGGCTGACATGCAGGCAGTTTATTTTGGGAAGATCCCAGGAGCAGGTGAGGGAGTGGGGAGGATGAATCTGGGAAGGAGGGAAAGCCAACACAAGCTGTGTCATCAAGCTGATCACCTCGATGAATGACTTGGGCTCTATCCTGCTGGAGCCTTCCAGTGAGTCATGTAGAACATTCCTCAGAACTGTCCACCCAAGGGAAAATAGATCTCCTGGATGGGAGGGAGGATGGGAACATTTATCCACTGGTGCCTGCCCCCATTGGTCAAGGGATGGCCCTTGGGTGCTAACTCACTCCCTGGCACGTCCAGGCTGTACGTGCATGAGTGCCAGGCAGGCTCTCCTGGGCAGGCCATGCCGAGAATGTCAGAGACACTCCTTGGAGGACAGGGAGAGCTCCGCAGAGCAGCCGAGGCAAAGGGCTGGCAGGGGACTCACGCAGGAAGCTGGTGCCTCCGCGATGGCTAGAGAAAAAAGTGGGCTGAGAGGGTATCAGTTGGGGTGCCCAAAGGGTCCAGTATACCCCAGTTCTGGGCACAGACTCGTAGAGGCCTTCTGGGTCAGGCATCATGTGGTCATGGTGGTAGCCTGGACGGAGGGAGCGTTGGCTCCAGTCTCAGAAGTATACAAAAGTTTCCACCGCTGGCGTGGTTGTCCAGCCTAATCCTCCACCCTGCTGCCGTCCAGGTCTTGGGGCTCCAGCACTAGTTGGTGCTCTTGGTGGCAGATCAGTGGGAATTGCTGACCAGGCTGCATGTCCATATATGGATACATACATGCAGAGGCTGCCCCGACATCCCCTGTGCTCAGCGGGGAGAGAGCTAGGAGAATCTTTTTCTCTCCCTCCCAGGCAGAGGTGTGAATGAGAGCTGCCTGGACACCCGAGGCTGCTCCTGCTTGCAGGGGCTCTACCCAAACCCCCAGTCTATCCACATACACTGCAGTATCAGGACACCTGGTGACTGCTAGCCTGTAAGTCACCTTGTGTGAATTGGAGCAAAGTTCCTCTTCGTTTGGACAGATGCAGCCCCACAGTAGGTCCGGGCAACTAGACAGCAGGCTGGATTTCAGCCTCCATTTGTGGGTCAGTTGGGCAGCTTTGTGCAGTGAGAAACCTATACAACTGTCCAGAGCACCCCTGTCTACCAATCAGTGGTTGCTAACCTTCTTACGACAGCACACCAGTTTGATTATAACTCCCCCCCCCCCACACACACACACTCGTTGGGGAAGATTTAGCCTCCCAGGCCCAGATTTCGGGACACTGGTTCCCATCTGCATGCAGTTTTGATCCGACCCCAGCCCTGTTGCCCTAGCAAGGGTCAGCTTCAGGCCCAGCCTATGCCCAGTGAGGTGCCACTTTATTCCTCTCCTCTGGCTCCCATCCAGAGTGGGCAACCAAACCCGAGAGGCCCTGGCATCCTCCCCCCGGGTTGCTGGGTGTTGGCATGCTTGGCATCAGTCCCTGGTTTCCCTCAGCAGCCCTGGGCATGCCGCACCTGGCTGAGTGGGACCAGGGCTGCTGGAGCATGGTCTCACCCGCTGGGGCCCTGTATGCAGAGAGGTTTAGAGCCCAGCCTGGATCCAGATCACCGGACTGAACTCCGGCTCCACCACTTACCAGCTTCGTGACTTTGGACAAGCTACTTCACCTTTCCAGGCCTCGGTTTCCCCATCTGTGAAAAAGGGACAGCAATATCACTCACTTCTCAGGGTTATTGTGAGGATGAGATGAGATGATCGTGATGATAGCGCTTAGCACCGTGCCGTGTGGAGTGAGCGCTCAGAACACGGGTGGTGTTCACGAACCGCAGAGCAGGACAGACTGTCTCACAGACTCCAGCATGGTTTAGTCCTCCCCGCTCCCTGCCTCCCGTGCAGGCTGCGTGGTCACAGCCTGCTGGGACTGCAACTTTGTTTTCGTCTATGTCACCCTGCACAGTTTCAAAGCCCCCTTTCTGGACCCCTCCTTCTAGCTCCTGGGCCCCTGTCCCTCCCACACCCTGGCTGTCTCCCCTGGCTCATGCCTCCTGGGCTCGGGCTCGCTGCCCTCACACCCCCTTTCTGCTTCCCCTCTCGGGGCACCCAGCCTTCTCCCCACACGCTCCCCTCTCCGGTCCGCGCCCCTCTCCCCTGTTCCTCCCCCTCCCACTCGAGATTCTTTCTGCAGGTGGGGGCAGGCGGGGGCTGGAGGTACACAGGGAGAGGCCTTTCCAGATGTGGTTCAGAGAGACAGAGGCAAAGGGGTAACAGAGCGAGGCAGAGATATGTACACAGACTGAAATGACAGAGACTCGCAGAGACAGAGATGGAGGGAGAGGAGATGTTGAGAGATAGACAGAGAAAGAGAGTCCAAGAGACACGTCTACTGACCCAGAGAGACAGAGGGACTTGATACGGAGTTTAACATTCAAGAGACAGGAGATACATGGGAGGCAGAGAGAGGCACAGAGAGACGCTGAGACAGAAACCCAAAGAGAGAGCAAGCCAGAGGGGCTGGCGGGGGGAGACCAAGTCGGAGACGGGGAGAGGTTGTGAGGCTGGAACACCCAGACACAGGTTCTGAGAGACAGAGACGTGGAGAGGGGGAACCATTGTGCCTGTCTCTAAGCCCAGCTTGATGTCCCCAAGGGGGTTTTTTGGCTGTTTGTGACTTCTTTGATGCAACCGCCCCCCCCCAAAATGGGGGCCATCCTAGGAAAAGAGACCCAGTGACCAGGACTCCTGGTTCCAAGGGATGCATTCTCAGTCCCAGGCCTGGGACCCCGGACACGGGCACTGGGGGGAATGACCTGGGACACCAGGTCTCCCTCAAACCCAAGGCTCAGCCCCACCCCAGGGATCCCTTACTCACACTGGAGCTCTGGGCAGGCACCTGCCTGGCCTCCCGTTCTCTCCTCTCCTCTTCAAGGCAAGTTCCTGAAACAGGCTGCAGTCTGGTGTCTGTCCCCAGCCCTGTCGTTAATGGCTCAGCCTCCGGCAGGCCCCAGGGCTAGGGATTGCAACACCTTCCCAGCCTCCCTTGTGCCCTCCCTTGCGCCTTCGTGGGCACAGGCAGCCCCTTCCTCCCAGGAAGGAGCTGCGAGGGAAACTGGTGAGGCCCAGCGACCTTCCTGCCTCGGGGGTCTTAAAGGGCTGGGGACTGGCAACGAAGTCCCCCTCCCCGGCCTCCGGATTTCCTGAGCTCAAAGCTTTGAGGCTGGGCAGGGTGCCATGCCCGTGCCCCCTGCCCTGGGCAGCACCACTTGGAGACAGCCCCCGGTGCGAAGGCTGCCCCAGCTCCGAGCTCCTGTGGGCACCAGCCCTGGGCCCTCATCCTCGCAGTACTGAGGAGGGTGTCCTCCAGGCTCCTGAGAATGTTATAAGTGACACCCAGTGTCCCCCTCTTTGCTACATATTCCCTACCATCCAGGCCAATGGAGAAATGGGGACTCTGGGTACAAGATGGGGGGGTGTCCTTGTAAGGCACAGGGTCTTCATGTGTTCACTCAAAATCGTTAATAGTAACATTTACTCACAATGGATCTGTTACACTGAGAGTTTTTTTTTTTTTTTTTCTTTTTTTGTTTAAGAAGTTTGAGGAGAGAGTTTTTTTTGTGTGTGTGTGAGATAGGGTCTTGCTCTGTTGCCCAGGCTGGAGTGCAGTGGTGTTATCACAGCTCACAGCAACCTCAAACTCCTGGCCTCAAGTGATCCTCCTGCCTCAGCCTCCTGAGTAGCTGGGACTACAGGTGTGCCCCACCAGGATCAGCTAATTTTTTTTAATCTTTAGTAGAAATGGGGCCTTGCTATGTTACCCAGGCTGGTCTCAAACTTCTAGTCTCAAGTGATCCTCCTGCCTCGGCTTCCCAGAGTGCTGGAATTATATGTATGAGCCACCATGCCTTATACTGAGTGACTGCATTTTATGTCTTTTATTGTCTGGATGCATGTTTCCCTGCAATTGTTTACAAATGATTTTCTGAGAAAGATTCAGCCTGCTCATAGTTTATTGGATTCATGACCCAATAAAAGTTAGGTGCCAACAGACTAGCAGAATGTCCTTAAATGTGATCCTTCTTAGGAAAAGTGGGCTTCTGGCTCTGGTGTGATGTGGCAGACCAGGGCTGCAGTTCTGGTTCCAGATCGAATTACCCCACTGCCTGCTGGAACCCCCTGCTGGAACCACCCACAAAATGTCCCACAGGCTCTGCACACTCAGCAAATCCCATTGACTCTTCTTTCAAAATATAACCAGATTCCAGAGTATGCAGGCATTCACTGTAAAATTCAGCTTGCTGTTTGAATATTTTCACAATAACATGTTGGAAAATATAAATATCACTTAAAGCAATACCAGCCAGGTCTAAGCCACTCTTATCTCTTGCCTACATCATGGCAACAACCCCCTTCCTGGTCTCCTGTTTCCATTCATCCTTGTTCCCCACCTGCCTGTTATTCCTTCAGCAGCCAGTATGATATTGATCAAAGAGAAGTCAGATCATGTCATCCTCTGCCCCCAACTCTACAATGCTCCCATCTCACTCAGAGTCAAAGCCAAAGCCCTTTCAGTGGTCTACAAGGTCCTACACAGCCTGGCGCCCCCATTCCTCCCCGACCCCTCTCCTATTATTCTCTCTCCTGCTGCTTTGCTCCACTGTTTTCCTTGTTCTTTTTTTTTTTTTTTTTTTTGAGACAGAGTCTCGCTTTGTTGCCCGGGCTAGAGTGAGTGCCGTGGCGTCAGCCTAGCTCACAGCAACCTCAAACTCCTGGGCTCAAGTGATCCTTCTGCCTCAGCCTCCCAGGTAGCTGGGACTACAGGCATGCGCCACCATGCCCGGCTAATTTTTTTTATATATATATATCAGTTGGCCAATTAATTTGTTTCTATTTATAGTAGAGACGGGGTCTCGCTCAGGCTGGTTTTGAACTCCTGACCTTGAGCAATCCGCCCGCCTCGGCCTCCCAAGAGCTAGGATTACAGGCGTGAGCCACAGCGCCCGGCCTGTTTTCCTTGTTCTTGAACTTGTTAAGTTGTTTCCTGCCTCAGGGCCTTTGCACTTGCTGTTGTTGTTGTTGTTTTTTTTTACCTGGACTCTTTCCCCCCAAATAGCTACATGGATCGCTCCTCCCTCCCCTTCTTCAGGCCTTTGCTCAAATGTCACCTTCTCATTGAGGCCTTCTCTGACCACCCTTCTAAAAAATTGCAAGCCCCTCCCCGACTCCCCGGATCCCTTTTCACCACCTGATATTGGCTGTCTCCATCTCCCACTAGAGTGGAAGGTCCACGAGGGCAATGCTTTTGGTCTGTTTTGTTTAAAACTCTATATTCGGCGTCTACAACACTGCCTGTCACATAGTGAGACCTCCATCCATGTTTGTTGAATGAATAATTGAATGGCTGGATCTTTCCCTTACGTCATCAAATCTGTCTTCAATCCTTGAGTGCCTCATTTTGGTGAATCAACCCTCTGCCCCCAGTCATGCAGCCCAGGGACTCAGGAGCCATCATTACACCCACTCCCCACACTCCCAGTTAGGTCTTTGGGAGGGAGAATGGGCCTTCTGCTTCAGCAAACCGCGCTTGGACCAGGCACGGGAACACGGTGAGCAGAGGCTTTGGTTCTTGCCTTCGTGGAGCTCCCTTCTCAGTCTTGTCAACAGGCCTGTGATCCGTTTCCTCTCCCCGAGTTTTCCAGAGGCTCCGCATCGCATCCTAACTCCTTAACTGGACCATCAAGTTACCCCCGCCTCCCTCTCCTGCCTCGCTGGGCTCCGCTTCCAGAAAGTAATGCTGAATGTGCTTGTATTTCCCTGCCTGCCGGGGGCTCTGCAATGCCTCTGTGCCTTTGCTCTTCCCGGTCCCCTGCCACCTCTGCCTGCCCCAGTCCTGTTCCTGAGCCAGCCCAGGCCTCCAGCCTGTGCTGAGCACACCCCACCACCACCACCACCTTCTGCCCCTTAGCCACGCTGGGTCAGGTGCCCTCCTTCCTGCCGATCCTGTAAGGCTGCAGTGGGGCTGGCTGGCTGCCGCCTGCACTCCACTGAACTCTTTGAGGGCAGAAACTGCATTCTCTCCTCTGCCTCCCAGCCTCGCACAGGGCCGGGCACGCGGGGATACTCAGTGCTTGTCTGTTGGGCTGTAAAATCTTGGAGAAGTTGTTTACCCTTTCCAAGCCTCTTTTTTTGTTAATTAAATAATTTTTTTATGTTTTTATTTTTTTTAAGAGATGGGGTCTTGCTTTGTCACCCAAGCTGGAGCCCAGTGGCATGATCATAGCTCACTGTAACCTCGAACTCCTGGACTCAAGTGATACTCCTGCCTCAGCCTCCTGAGTAGTTGGGACCATAGGAATGCACCAACATGCTCAGCTTATTTAAAAATTTCTTTTTTTCTTTTTTTTTTTTGGAGACAGATCTCATTCTGTTGTTGTCCAGGCTAGAGTGCCGTGGCATCAGCCTAGCACACAGCAACCTCAAACTCCTAGGCTCAAGTGATCCTCCTGCCTCAGCCTCCCTAGTAGCTTGAACTACAGTTGCACACCACCATACCTGGCTAAATTTTTCTTTTCCTTTCTTTTCTTTTCTCTTCTTTTCTTCTTTTTTTTTTGGAGGAGATGGTTTTTCACTCTTGCTCAGGCTGGTGTCAAACTCCTGGCTTCAAGTGAACCTCCCACCTCAGCCTCCTAAAGTGCTAGGATTACCACCACGAGCCTCTGTGCCTGGCCAAAAATGTTTTTTAGAGATGGGGTCTCACTGTGTTGTCCAGGCTGGGGAGCTGCTGTTTCCTTATCTGTCACATAGAAAACAACTCCTCCTAGGAGTTTTGTGGGAATGAAATGAGCTGTCAGAAGCATAGCACCTAGCATGGTAACCAGCACATAGTAGGTGTTCAATAAATTTGCTTTCCTTTTTCCCCTCTGCACAATTCAATATTTTCGAGTAAGTAAGAGTTTACTGACCTCGTTTGTGTTCCATTCTCCGTTGAGGACCTGCACCAGGAAATGGAGCGCAGCAGCTGAAGTAAAAGTTAGCTTTAAGGAAATGAAAGTTAGATTTAAGGAAGAACTTTTCTTAGGAAAAAAGCCTTAGAGTGTACAGAGGTTAAGACCATGCGTTGAGGAGGCAGACTGCTTGGTGTCGCCACTTACTACCTGTGCGAGCCTGGACAAGTGTTTAACCTCTCTGAGCCTCGGTTTTGTCATCTTTAAAATGGGGATAGTATCTGCTTCATGGGATTCTTGGGAGAAATCAGTGAATCTAAGTGGAACAGAGCCACGCACATAGTAAATGCTTAAGAAATGCTGAAAAGCACAACACAGATGGGGCGTCGTCCCCTCCACCTGCACCCGGTATCTGCTCTGAGGATGGAAACTTCCTCCTCCAGCTGTCCTGCCGCCTGCCCCTCCTCCATCGGGCAACTTTCTGTGGGTTGGAAACCCCGTAAGGGAGCCCTGGGGAGGGAACCCCGTTCTTGGCAGCCCAGCTACTGAAGGCCAGGCTGTTTCTGTTTCTGTTAGTGCCTGTGATGTGTGTGTGTGGGGGGGTCAAGGAACAGCTCATTCCAGGGGGGCCGGGCGGGGGCCGATGGGCCAGCCAGGGCCAGTGTCCGGAAGTGGAGGCCGTGCTCATCCGCCCGGGCCTGGGCTGGCTGGAATACAGCAGTCGGCCGAGATTGTGCAAACAGCTCGTTGTGCAAACACACCCCTGTGTGTGACCTCGATTGTGCAAACAGGTGTTTACTGGAGGCTGCTTACAAAAAAACACCCGAGCTGTTGACTTAGAAACCAAAACCTGGGCACTCATTCTTCCCTGCGTGCGCCCTGAGCTTCCTGCCTTCCAGCCTTTGCGCAGGTCGTCCCTCTGCCTGGATGCTGTCCCTTGCCCCCGCTTCAACTTGTTTAATTTTACCCATTTTTCAAGGTTCATGAAAAATGCCACTAAATCTTTCTTCATAAATCTTTCCCTCATTTGCATAATCAAGGCATTTGCTGCATTGTTAATGTCCTGGTCATGTTTTGCCTGATGGCTCTTAAGACTGAGCTCCCTGAGTTCAAGGATCTTTCCTTAGTCACTTCTGAAAGGTTGGGAAAGCGAGGCCCAGAGAGGGAAAGTGACCTGCCTATGTCACACAGCCAGTTTGAGGCAAGGCTGGGCTCTAAATCAGGCCTCTGCACTTTCTGCCACACTCAGGCCCTCTCTCTCAGACCCCATCCACCTCTGACCCGGCTCTAACCCTGGGTTGAGGCGGGACTCCCGCTGGAACTTGAGGCAAGGGTGGAATTTACACAGAGCAGGGAAGGGTGTGCTGGGCAGGGGAACAGCAAGAACGAAGGCTGGAATGGGAAGAGTGGGTGGGAGCCATAACAGAAGGAAGAGGGGAGGGTATGGCCTGGGAATGGTGGTGGTGGGGGAGGGTGGCATTCTAGACCCAGAGATGACATTGACTTTGGATATGACCTTGAGCAGCACCACATAGTCTTGCCCCGCAGACCTCCAGCTCCCCTCAATACTCTCCACACACCCCAAACTAATCATGCCACCAGCTGAGTTCCCCACATTCTGTCCTGAAAACCTGCTCTTCTGTCCTGGTGAAAGAAATCTAGACCCCTGGCCTCCTCCCTGCCCCTCACCCCAACATCCGGCCTGTCACTCCTTCCTGTAGGTTCTGCCCCTTCTCTCCCACCTTATGCCCCTGTGGGAATCCAGGCCACCATTGTCACTTATCTGAGGACCATAGCGGTGTCCTCCTGTTCCCCCTGCCTTCATTCCTGGGATCCTGGCCTTGCTCTACTCAGTTGGAGGGCTTCTTCCAAATCAGGAATTCCAGCATGTCACTGCCCAGCTGAGAACCCTCCATTGGTTCCTTTCTGGCCATCAGATACAGTTCTGAGTCTTCCCCAGGGCTTTTTTTTTTTTTTTCCCCATGGCTTTTGAGGGCCTTCGAAACCAAGCCTCTAATCCTCCCCTACTCCCCCAGCCTCCTTGTGATACTCCGTCTCCCAATCTGCCCTTCTTTTTCACGAGCCTGACACTTCAGTTTGCCATCAATCATGTCCGATGCTGCTTTTGTCATGGCTCCAGGCCTTTCCCTTACTGTTTCCTTTGATTGGGATGCCCTTCCCCTTATATCCATGTCTGAAGAAATCCCTTTCATCCCTCAAAACCCAACTGGCATGTCACCTCCCCTGGGAAGCCTTCCCAGATTTCCCAGGCTGGGTTAGGTGTTGCCCACCTGGGCTCCAGGGTACTTGGTGAAGGCAGGGATGGATCTGTGACCCCAGGACCCAGCATGGGGCCTGACATGGAGAAGGTGTTTGTGAAAGGCTGTTGGATGTTGGAGCTGGGTCTTCAGGCCTGAAGGTCCCCCAGTGGCTATTTAGTTACCAGCCGAGGGGACTGGAGGAGTGTCTTCCACCAGGTGGCAGCCAGCACTGTGTTCTGCTTCCCTGGTGCTCAGATTGGCAGGATTTTCTGCTTTTGATTGGTTTCCCAAAAATGAGAAATGAATTAATTAGGACATCATTGATCCTGAATGCCGGGGAGCAAAACACGGGCTCCGGGCTGTGAGGAGGCTGGGACGGCTGCCCAGATGCTGTCTGGGGGCTGCCTCCAGGGAAGGAAGCAGAATTCTAGCTCTGAGTGGGCAGGAGGGAAGACTTCCCCTCCCTCTTATCCCTGCTTGTGGTCTGCTGGCCAGGAGGGCCTTATCTGGCTGGCGGCAGGATTGGGAAAAGCCAGGCAGAAGGAGGAGTCCCTAGGCCAGGCCAGCTTCTGCCCTGATCACGGGCTTCCTTGGGCGAGAGAGCTGGACCCATCTGGCAGGGGACGGAGGCCACCTTCCCACCAGGCAGCTGGTTTATGTCCCCTCAGCACAGGGGTGGGCAGGTAGAAGGGAGAAGACAGGGGCATTTTCCCTAAAATCTTGCCAGGAAGAGCGGCCAGGAGACGTCAAATGACTGGCTAAGGTTAGAGAGAGGCGAATGCAAGTGTGGAGCTCCTGGGATCAGAACCTTGGGTCTGCACTCTCCTCTGCTTCCCGGGGAGTCTGACCTTGATCCTGAGAGGGAAGAGGGGCTCCCAGAAGTAGCCAGTCTACTGCCTTGGTCCCATGTCCTCTGCTGCTGCAGCCTGGACCCAGATGGGGGCTCCTGCCCACACACAAGCTTTTGGGCTGGGGCACAGGGAGCAGAGGGATGGTGTCTTTTGCAACCTCCTTGTGGTTAGAGCTGTTCTCACGAGGGGTCTAGATTGCTGGGACAAGGCCACGTGTGTTACCTCTGTCACCTTTCTGGCCTCCCAGGTGGTTCTCCTGTTGCCTGGAATGCCCATTTTATTCAATTCATTCATTTATTTACTCACTCCCATGCCCCATCTTCTCACTCTTCTTTCCACTCACCCTCTCATTCATCCAACCACCTATGCATTTAGCCACCCATTCACCCATCTATCCACCTACTCATCCATCCATCCACCCACTCATCCATCCATCCACCCATCTATCCACCATACTCATCCAATCATTCATCCATCCACCATCCATGCACCCATCTATCCATCCACCCACCCACCCACCACTTACCCATCCATCCAGCTACCCACTCATCCATTCATCCACCCATCTATCCTTCAAACCCATCAAGTCATTCATCTATCCACTATCCATGCACTCACCCATCCACCCACCCACTTATTGATCCAGCAAATATTTTTGAGCACCTACTACCAACCAGGCCCTGCACATGGACCTGAGGGTAGTGTGTTTGAATAAAACCCCAGGATGTTGTGATCTGTGACAAGCAAACTTTCCATAGTCCCAACCTCTTCACAGGACCTCTGAGTGCCTCCCATCCCTAAGGACACCACACCACCTCCCTGCAGCTCTCATGAGTGGAAGCAGCTCCTTTTCCCAAGCTCCAGGTATGGCAGGGGCCAGAAACGTGGTTGGATTTCCTCTTGACCTAGATGTGTTGTGTGCAGATGTGGCTCCAGTGCCCTCATTTAATGCCCTTGCTCTGTGGAGCTGCGCCAATTTCTACCCCGCCCGGCCACCCTCCTTTGCTGGCCTCCAGTCAGTTGGCCTCATTCTCTTGATGTGGACGCCTGCTTCACATAGTCTTCCTCTCTACTTCTATTCTTGTATTCTGTTTGGGGGCCTTATGGCCACAAGGGTGCTGCTGTTCCCATACTCTGGTTTTCAGTTCCTTGACTGGCTTAGCTGCAGGGACTTTTCCACTGTAGCCACCTGCTACCCTGGTCACGCCATGGCCCTTTTCACGGCCTGGATCTGCTCCCCCTTTGGAATCTCCCGCTCCAACACCCCTCTTTGACACAGCCCTCCCCTTCTAGCTCTTACCTCCTCTGGCTGTCTGAGCTCAGAGAGGCCTCCAGGCCCTGCTCCCTCTATTTCTTCATCTGTCACCTCCTCCTCACCTCTCTTCTTTTCTTCTCCCCTGCAGAGCCCAACATTAAGTCACCGAGAATTTTCTTACTGTGCCCCCAAGAAATTTTTTATTAGGTTGGTGCAAAAGTAATTGTGGTTTTAGCATTGGTGACATTTGCCGTTTGATATTGGAATACATTCTTAAATAAATGCGGTTATGTTATACATCATTTTAATGCCATTATGCTTTTTGCTAACAACTTATGCTATTTATTTTGTATTTATTTTAGACTATTGAAATGACGTTAGACAAAAAGCAAATTCAAGTGATTGCAGCGGAGACACATCGCAACATTGACAATGCATTTGGCCCAGGAACTGCCAACGAACGCACAGTGCACTGGTGCTTCAAGAAGTTTTGCAAAGGAGACGAGAGCCTTGAAGACGAGGAGCGCAGTGGCCGACATCGGAAGTTGACAGCAACCAATTGAGAGCAATCGTTGAAACCCATCCTCTCACAACTGCACGAGAAGCTGCCAAAGAACTCAAGGTGGACAATTCTGCGGTCCTTCGGCATTTGAAGCAGATTGGAAAGGTGAAAAAGTTTGATAAGTGGGTGGCTCATGAGCTGCCCAAAAATAAAAAAATGGTTGTTTTCAAGTGTAGTCTTCTCTTCTTGTACTTAACCACAATGAACCATTTCTCAATCTGATTGTGACGTGTGACAAAATGTGGATTTTCTATGACAACTGGTGGCTGGCTCAATGGTTGGACTGAGAAGAAGCTCCAAAGCACTTCACAAGGCCAAACTGGCCTCCCAAAAAGGTCACTGTTTGATGGTCTGCTGCCGGTCTGATCCACTACAGCTTTCTGAATCCCAGTGAAACCATTCCATCTGAGAAGTCTGCTCAGCAAATCGATGCGATAACGGAAAACTGCTATGCCTGCAGCTGGCATTGGTCAACAGAAAGGGCCCAGTTCTTCTCTATGACAACACCTGACTGCATGTCGCACAACCAACATTTCAAAAGTTGGAGGGGCCGGGCGCTGTGGCTCACGCCTGTAATCCTAGCTCTTGGGAGGCCAAGGCGGGCGGTTGGTGGGCAGATTCTATTCTTGTCCAGTAGAGTGCACGTGCATCAGCCACAACAGCAACCTCAAAACCTACTAATGTATCTCGCCTCAGCCTCCTATAGCTTGAACTTACAGTTGCACACCCCATACTGGCTAAATTTTCTTTTCTTTTTCTTTTCTTCTTTCTTTTTTGGGAGGAGTGTGTTTTTTACTTTTGCTCAGGCTGGTGTCAAACTCCTGGCTTCAAGTGAACCTCACCTCAGCCTCCTAAAGTAGCTAGGATGACACCATGGGAGCCTCGTGTTCCTGTTCAAAATGTTTTTTACGTTAGAGATGTGGGGTCTTCCACTGTGTTGTCCAGGGCTGGGGAGCCGCTGTTTCCTTTATTGTCACATAAAAAGGGGGGGGAAAAAAACAACTCCTCTAGGAGTTTTGTGGAATGACAATGAGCTGCCGAACACACACTAGCATGGTAACCAGCACGATAGTAGGTGTTCAATAAAATTTGCTTCTCCTTTTCCCTCTGCACAATTGAATATTTACGAGTAAGTGTAAGAGTTTACTGACCTCGTTGTGTTCCATTTCCGTTGGGAGGACCTTGCACCAGGAATGGGAGCGCAGCAGCTGAAGTAAAAGTTAGCTTTAAGGAAGATGAAAGGTTAATTAGGAAGACTTTTTTAAGGAAAAAAGCCTTAGAGTGTACAGAGGTTAAGGACCAGGTTGAGGACGACTGCTTGGGTCGCCCTTACTACCTGTGTGAGCGGACAAGTGTTTAACCTCTCTGAGCCCTCGGGTTTTGTCATCTTTAAAATGGGGTAGTATCTTTCTTCATGGGATTTCTGGAGAAATCAGTGCAAAAAAATCTAAGTGGAACAGAGCCAGGCACATGAGTAAATGCTTAAGAAATGCTGAAAAGCACACACAGATGGGGCATTTCCCCTCACTGCACCCGGTATCTGCTGTGAGGATGGAAACTTCCTCCTCAGCTGTCCTGCCGCCTGCCCTCCTCCATCGGGCAACTTTCTGTGGGTTGGAAACCCGCGTAAGGGAGCCCTGGGGAGGGAACCCCGTTCTTGGAAGCCCAGTACTGAGGGCCAGGCTTTCTGTTTCTGTTTAGTGCCGTGATGTGGTGTGTGGGTGTGGGGGGTCAAGGAACAAGCTCACTTCCAGGGGGCCGCGGGGGCGATGGCCAGCCAGGCCAGTGTCCGGAATGGAGCCGGCTGCTCATCCGCCGGGCCTGGCGGCCTGGGAATACAGCAGTCGGCCAGATTGTGCAAACAGCTCGCGTTGTGCAAACACACCCCTGTGTGTGACCTCGATTTGTGCAAACAGGTGTTTACTGGGAGGCTGCTTACAAAGAAAACACCCGAGCTGTTGGATTAGAAACCAAAACTGGAACTCACTTCTTCCCTGCGTGCGCCCTGAGCTTTCCTGCCTCCCAGCCTTTGTGCAGTGGTTGTCCCCTCTGCTTGGATGTGTCCCTCGGCCCCCGCTTCAACTGTTTAATTTTACCCATTTTTCAATGTTCATGAAAAATGCCACTAAGTCTTTTCTTCATAATCTTTCCCTATTTGCATAATCAAGCATTTGCTGCACTTGTTAATGTCTCTGGTATGTTTTGGCTGATGGCTCTTTAAGACTGAGCTCCCTGGAGTTCAAGGATCTTTCTAGTAGCTTCTGGGATGAGGTGGATAAGCTGAGGCCAGAGATGGGAAGAGGACCTGCCTAGTCACACAGCCAGTTTGAGCAAGGTGGGGTCCTAAATCAGGCCTCTGCACTTCTGCCGACATCAGCCCTGGCCCTCTGCTCTCAGACCCCTCATTGTGTGATGTGTGTGTATATCTGTGGGGTGTATGCGACGCCGTCGGAATGTGATGGCTTAAGGGGTGAATTACACAGAAGGGGGTATTGGGCGGGCTAGTGGAACAGCAAGAATCGAAGGCATTGTAGGTAAGTGTTGTGTTGTGTGTTGTGTGGTGTTTGGTGAGAATACGAGGAGAAGAGATGGCTTCATGCGAGCGTTAACCAGTGCTCCTTATAGAGATTCTGGTGGGAGGTGGCATTCTAACCCAGAGATGACATTTGACTTTGGATATGACCTTGAGCAGCACCACATGATCTTGCCCCGCAGAGCAGCTCCCCCCTGACGCTCACACACACGCCAAACTAAGCATGCCCCAGCTGAGTTCCCACATTCGGTCCCTGAAAACCTGCTCTTCTGCTGGTGGAAAACCATCTAGACCCCTGGGGCCTCCTCCATGCCCCTCACGCCGCCGCCCAACCATCCGGCCTGTGTCACTCGCTTCCTGTAGGTTCTCCCTTCTCTCCACCTTATGCCCCTGTGGAATCCAGGCCACATTGTCACTTATCTGAGACCATAGCGGCTGGTCCTCCTGTTCCCCCTGCCTTCATTCCTGGGATCCCGCCTTGCTCTACTCAGTTGGAGGCTTCTTTCCAAATCAGGAATGCCAGGCATGTATGCGCCCCCCCTTGCTGAGAACCCTCCATTGGTTTCCTTCTGGCCATCAGATACAGTTCTGAGTCTGGTCCCTAGGCTTTTTTTTTTTTTTTTTTTTTTACCCCATGGCTTTTGAGCGCATTCGAAACCAAGGCCTCTAATCCTCCCCTACGTCCCCCAGCTCCTTGTGATACTCTCCGGTTTCCCAATTGCCCCTTCTTTTCACGAGCCTGACACTTCAGTTACCATCAATCGATGTCGATGCTGCTTTTGTCATGCTCCAGGCTTTCCCTTACTGTTTCCTTTGATTGGATGCGCCTTTTCCCGTATATTCCAGCATCTGAAGAAATCCCTTCATCCCTCAAGAACCAACTGGGATGTCACCTCCCCTGGGAAGCCTTCCAGATTTCCCAGGCTGGGTTACAATGAGTGTTGCCCACTTGGGCTCCCGGGTACTTTTGGTGAAGGCAGGATGGATCTGTGACCCCAGGACCCAGCATGGGGCCTGACATGTGAGAAGGTGTTGGGAAAGGCTGTTGGATGTTGGGAGCTTGGTCTTCAGGCCTGAGGTCCCCCCAGTGGCGTATTTAGTTACCAGCCCAGGGGACTGGACGGAGTGTCTTCCACCAGGTGGCAGCCAGCACTGTGTTCTGCTTCCCTGGGTCAGATTGGCAGCATTTTCTGCTTTTGATTGGTTTCCCAAAAATGAGAAATGAATTAATAAATAGGACTCATTGATCCTGAATGCCGGGGAGCAAACCGGGCTCCGGCTGCGAGGAGGCTTGGGACGGGCTGCCCAGATGCTGTCTGGGGGCTGCCTCCAGGCAAGGAAGCAGAATTCTAGCTCTGAGTGGGCAGGATTGGGAAGACTTCCCTCCCTTTATCCCTGCTTGTGGTCTGCTGGCCAGAGGGCCTTATCTGGCTGGATGGCAGGATTGGAAAGCCAGGCAGAATGGAGGGAGAGTCCCTAGGCAGGCCAGCTTCTGCCCTGATCACGGGTCTTGGGCGGAGGGAGCTGGACCCATCTGGCAGGGGACGGGAGCCCCTTCCACACAGGCAGCTGGTTTATGTCCCCTCAGCACAGGGGTGTGTGGCAGTCGATAGAAGGGAGAAAGACTAGGGGATTTTCCCTAAAATCTTGCAGGGGAAGCGGCCCGGAGACGTTCAAATGACTGCTAAGGTTTAGAGAGAGGTGAATCCTGGACTCTTTCCCCCCAAATAGCTACATGGATCGCTCCTCCCTCCCCTTCTTCAGGCCTTTGCTCAAATGTCACCTTCTCATTGAGGCCTTCTCTGACCACCCTTCTAAAAAATTGCAAGCCCCTCCCCGACTCCCCGGATCCCTTTTCACCACCTGATATTGGCTGTCTCCATCTCCCACTAGAGTGGAAGGTCCACGAGGGCAATGCTTTTGGTCTGTTTTGTTTAAAACTCTATATTCGGCGTCTACAACACTGCCTGTCACATAGTGAGACCTCCATCCATGTTTGTTGAATGAATAATTGAATGGCTGGATCTTTCCCTTACGTCATCAAATCTGTCTTCAATCCTTGAGTGCCTCCTTTTGGTGAATTAACCCTCCCCCCCCCAGTCATGCAGCCCAGGGACTCAGGAGCCATCATTACACCCACTCCCCACACTCCCAGTTAGGTCTTTGGGAGGGAGAATGTGCCTTCTGCTCATCATTCAGCAAAGCGCTTGGACTAGGTGTGGGAACACGGTGAGCAGAGGCTTTGGTTCTTGCCTTCGTGGAGCTCCCTTCTCAGTCTTGTCAACAGGCCTGTGATCCGTTTCCTCTCCCCGAGTTTTCCAGAGGCTCCGCATCGCATCCTAACTCCTTAACTGGACCATCAAGTTACCCCCGCCTCCCTCTCCTGCCTCGCTGGGCTCCGCTTCCAGAAAGTAATGCTGAATGTGCTTGTATTTCCCTGCCTGCCGGGGGCTCTGCAATGCCTCTGTGCCTTTGCTCTTCCCGGTCCCCTGCCACCTCTGCCTGCCCCAGTCCTGTTCCTGAGCCAGCCCAGGCCTCCAGCCTGTGCTGAGCACACCCCACCACCACCACCACCTTCTGCCCCTTAGCCACGCTGGGTCAGGTGCCCTCCCTCCTGCGGATCCTGTAAGGCTGCAGTGGGGCTGGCTGCCGCCTGCACTCCACTGAACTCTTTGAGGGCAGAAACTGCATTCTCTCCTCTGCCTCCCAGCCTCGCACAGGGCCGGGCACGCGGGGATACTCAGTGCTTGTCTGTTGGGCTGTAAAATCTTGGAGAAGTTGTTTACCCTTTCCAAGCCTCTTTTTTTGTTAATTAAATAATTTTTTTATGTTTTTATTTTTTTTTAAGAGATGGGGTCTTGCTTTGTCACCCAAGCTGGAGCCCAGTGGCATGATCATAGCTCACTGTAACCTCGAACTCTTGGACTCAAGTGAACTCCTGGACTCAAGTGATACTCCTGCCTCAGCCTCCTGAGTAGTTGGGACCATAGGAATGCACCAACATGCTCAGCTTATTTAAAAATTTCTTTTTTTTGGGTGCGAGATCGGTCAGGTGAATATG